GCAGTTAGTGATGGAAATCATTACAGAGTTGATGGATACATTGTTACCTCTCATCACGAAATACAATAGTTTCAAAATTATTATTTTAGCTGTAGCCTTCGCACTGTATTGGTCATAATTCTAACACCATTACACAAATTATTTATATAAGCTACATTTCCTCCCACACTATTTTTATTTGCATTTTTATACTTAGCCGGCCGGTCTTTCTCATATATTATTATTTACACAAGATTTTACTTCGAATTTTTTAAATGTGTGTATTTTATAAGTGTTATTCCTTATATTCCTTAATAAATTTAATCCTATATTATCATAGTATAACTTGATAAAATCGCTATAAATCAATAAAGTTGCTATAATTCGCTAAATCGATATGTTAAAATCATTATAGACAAGGTTTTTAATAAATCCTTTAGTGTCCAGGATGGGTTGGCGGGATGGTTCAAAATTCGCGATTATAATTTCCGGCTGAAATCAACATAATTTCGGAGTAAAAACCTAGTGGATCAAAATTTTGATCACAAAATCGTAAAAAAATTGCCAAAATCGTGATAAAATCGTGAGCCTAAACCCATAAATCTCCGTTCTGGATAAGATTTGGATTATGTCACTGCATATCATGGATTGTAAAAATAAAAAACAATATCTGTTATTAGATCTCAATGCTTTATTATTGCTGAAATTTTATTGGTTGATTAAATCACGTGATTTAATAATGAAATATGGAATCTATAAAAAAAGTTAACTAATTAGAGTTTAAAATAAAATCATAATAACCTTATTTTCCTTGTACTCACAAAAAAATGGTTAAAATAGTTGTTTACTTGGGGGAGGGTCACTCATTGAACTTGTCTTCATTTGTTTGTTTTTGATATAATATATTATATATTTGGTAAATGCAATTGTATTAAACCCAAAATTCAAAATGAAATAAAACTTAACCATAATTCAAATCTCTATCGCTATAATTATAAAGAACATTGAAATTATTTTTTATTTATTATATATAAATATTATAAAACCAAATAATAGACAAATTTTTTTCTAAACTCCTTTTTTCTATAAAATAAATTTAAATACAAGCAAGCACTATGGGCTGCTATTAAATATCATTCCTATTTAATATATTTAATAACAAATAAACTCTTCTTAAATGAACTTATTAAACATGTCATATAAATCATCGAATGTGAAGCAATAATTTGCAAGTATCTTTTCTAAAGAACATTGTAACAGAGGAGATCGTAGTCGTTTTTTACACAAAAAACTTCTCACAGTACTAAGTAACTGTGAGAGTGGTACACAAGACAACCTTAGTAATGGGAATGTTCTATCTCAACCTTTCATAAGCTAGAACTCTAACTCGAACTCTACCAGTTTATAAATACTGTATTATTTTTTAAATGATAATTGTAATTTTGGAGCTATTTGTTGGTATAGACATGAAAAAACCTAATAATGACACAAAAAACAAGTATAAATGTGAAGAATTGCAATATTATTGTATAATATAATGGCTTGACAAACAAATTAGTAAATGCAAGAATTGTCTTATACAAAATAATTTACGAGAAAAATTTTATTAGAAATTAAACTTTTATTTATTTTAAATCTAAATTTATTATCGTGTATATCAAAAATTGGTAATCCTACAGGAAAAAAGTTCGAATCATTTTCAGACCTTTACACTGATGTAATAATGAAAACGCAATAATAAATAAAGAAATATTTGATTCGTTAAAACAGCATTGAACAGTACAGGGGATGTATCGATCGAAGTAGATATAATGTATAAATATAAACGTGCAAGGAACTATAATGCACATAAGTCACTTAATGAAACAAATGATGGCAAATAAACACCCAAGCGATCTAGCAACTTCACTTTCAAAATATATGAAGTGTTTGTATGAAAGAAATTTTTATATTGGATTTAATTTTTAACAATTTTACAATTTACGATTGTATTATATATTTCAAAATACTTACATATTTATATATATTTATGATGCAGAGGATGCAGAGACAAAAATACTAATTTCGTCTGCGGTAAAAATAAATACTGCAATATACCGTGCGATATAAAGATACTAGTTTCTGCGGTATTTCTTTGTCATTGTTATTAGTAATGCTGGTTGGATTTATCTATTTCGATAATGATCTATGATCAGCATTTTCTGCGGTTTTTCAAAAATTATCGTCTTGAAAAGATTCATATGAGCAATTAGTTTTTTTTTTTAAAAAAAAAAATAAATTTATTAATTCTATTCATATTCAAATTTTTAAAATTCATTTTATAAATTAAACAAACATCTTTAACATCTTTATATTCACCTTTCCTATCTGCGTTTTATACTATATTTTATCATCTTATATTCACTTCTACTTGAATTTATAATATTATCTTCAGACAAGATTTTGAGATTCTGCATTGGAATAAAAATACTTAACCAAAAACTGCATCACCTTAAATAATACAAATAACTCAAGCTATTCAAATTATGCAATTGATTGTGTACTTTTTCATAAGCAATTTACAAATGTTTGTTATATTACAAAGCAATTAAGCAATTAAGCAATTTACAAGTTCCTTTAAACAATGTGTTAGCAATAAATAACCAAATGACCAAATCCTACAAAGCAGTTAAGCACTTTACAAATGACCGAATCTTTAGGCTAGCCGAAGAATCAACAACGTGATGAATTTAGACAATTGGCTGTTAAAACGGTGATTGGACATAAAGTTCTAGAATCACCGCAATCAATAATCCTAATAATCCTAATGTTGGTGATAAAAATAATTAAATCATGTATTTTATTATAAATGATTCCATTTTTGCTCTATCTTTATCATCAGAATTTGTGAATGTGTTAGTTTCTAACTTGGTTATTTTAATTGATTTTTTGATAATTTTTTTAAATTTAATAATAATTGATTAATCTTTTAATATTATTCCCTCAATCATATATATTTTTTTAATTTGACTCGGTGAAAATATATTTTTTTCACGTTACACTAACCATATATAACCATGTCTCGACCATTGCAATTCAAGCTACACAAAGTTTTCACGTTATACTAACCATATATAACCATGTCTCAATTTAAGCTACACGATTATTTGATTACGCATTTTTGACAAAAAAAGCCATAATTACAAAATTTCACGTGGCTTATGAAGTTTCTCTTTCTCACATTTTAGAAAATTTGCCAATACTTAAAAATCGAAATCATTCATCAATATAACAAGTAAACGTAATTTATTATATCCTTAACTTTTATTGATGGAACCAATCCACTTCTTTTTCCTCTGAGTGATTGATTGTTACAAGCCACTCGCATGTATGGTTCTTTTTACCATCCAACTCCGTCGAAATTTTTTATGGCGCAGTAATATTCATATCTCAAGATATTTTGCGTTTTAACATATTTAGAAATGTATATTTATATTCTTTTAAAATAAGATATCTTTATCAGTTCGTATTATTTGTATCTTCCGACACAAAGTATTCCGATTTCATTTCAAATGAAAGGTTCCATGTAATTAATACTCGGGCATTTCCTAATATTAGTAACGGTCTTTCTTCTTGTTATTAACAGTTAATAATTATCTACAAAAATCAGAATTTTTTTCTGAACAGGTAAGTATATAAAATCAAACTTATAATGTAAAAATATTTTTTAATTTTAAAATAAAAATTAGAATGTCCACGATATATTAAAAAACCCTTTAAACGCGGATCTGCTTCTTAAATCCTTTGTTGAAAGAGATTAGGAACAAGTTCTAAATTATCAGTTATAAAACTTTCGCAATTTGATCCATAAAATGTATAATTTTTTATTTGTTCTAAATAAAGATATTAATTTATTATATTATTTCATGTACTTACCAATTTTTCGATTTACTTCATTTATCTCGACAGAAACGGGAGTTTCGATCTTTTTTACATTATTTTTGAGAACCGTGATCTTCATTGGGGAAACATAACAATTAAAAATCACGTTCTTAATGCATTGGTGAAATAGTTTCGCAATATCATGAATAATTTTATTTAAAAAAATTTGACGAGAAAACTATTGGTTTATAAGGAAGAAGATAATTAAATTATACCTTATTAAAAACCAATACAATTAACTATCGATAAATATTAAAAATAATAATAAAAAATAAATAATTTATGAATGATAATATCATTGCAATTAAATATCGACCACAAAAAAAAAAAGAAAAAAAAAGGAAACTGGAAAGCAAAAATACAATGAAAATAATTATTACATAATTTAAATAAAATAAAAAAATTAAAAAAAAATTAAATTTTTTTTTCACAAAATCTCTTTAAACATGTTATCAATCTCTCTAATTAATCCATCCATAAATGCTTGTTCCGTACATTTAATTTCAATTCGTATATTTGCTTTAATATTATGATCATTTAACTCATTTTCCTCTACATTCTGTTCAATAAATAATTTTGCTAATCCTGCAACTTGATACCCTTGTACACTTTTACCGTAAATAGTTATTGCTGAAGGTATTTCTTGAACTATACGTGTACCAGTTGCAATAGATGTTAACCTTATTAATTCATCTTGAAAAGTTTGTTCAAAAGTACGATCGGTTGGGTTCAATTGAATCAAAGTTGATCCAGAGAAAGGAAATTTTGACGAATCTGAAACGATTGAACTAAATTGTTCTGGAGTGATTTTAGGAAGATTAAGCATAAACACGGATAATGGTAATTCAAATTTGATAGGTATATCGTGGATTGTTGCCTCTTCCTCGTCCAATTGCTAAAGCATAAAAATCGGGTTAGAATTAAAAGATGAAATAATCTTTAAATAACAAATGTCAAAGAAATCTTAATTACCGGTGTTGTATAAGAAACGTTGCCGGACACATTTAAACGCACACCTACGATTCCCAAAACTTTAAACTCGATATGTATTTCTTTTTGTTCATTACTTTGTAATTCACCTATTTCTAATGACGCATTTTCAAATTGAATGTCCGATGTAGATTCAAAAGTAAATGATAATTGAGTTAATGAATTATCCGATATTTTATTTTGTAGAGTAAATTCGGCAATAATGACAGGAGGTTCATTTTTAATTTCGATATCAGTTCCTAAATGTAATGTATAAGACTGAAAAAAATGGTTAATTAATATTAAGGAAAAAAATCTACGTAATTCGTGAAGCAAAGCCTTGCTCACAACTACCGAGTGTTGGAAAAATCGAATTCGTTATATCTAGGAAAAAAAAACTTACAACGCGCAATTCGTCCAAATCTAACAAGGTTTTGACTGGCATTTTGATAATTTCATATGGTCCATTTGTATCTTGAATGTTTTCGAATATCACTTGTTCGGACGCAGATTTCTTCTTTGACTTCTATTACAAGATTAAGAATAAGTTTCGAAAAAATTGTCAAATCCTAAAATGTAAAAGGTACAATACCTTTTTATAACCAGTCTTTTTACTCTTTTTCATGGGCCCTGTTTCGTCTGTATTCTTTTTCTTGGATACCTTCTTCTTTTTGATAGGTTTCTCCTCATTTTCTACACGTTTATTTCTTGCTTTCGATGTAGAATTAGATGTTATTTTTGAAGAAGTTTGTGAACCAGATTTCGACTTTGATTTATCACTCTAGCAGAAAAAAAAAATATTTAAATAAATAATTTTTTTTTAAAATAAAATAATTGTCAAAAATCTTTCTTTAATGTCCCACTTTATTCTTTTTTAGCTGAGCAGCTTCCAACAACATTTTAGTTCTCTTCTCTTCTTCTACCCTTCTTACTTCCTCGGGACTAAGATATACTCTCATTTGTGGAAACTTTTCATCTTCTCCTAAAGGCGTTGATAAATCCACATTAGCAACACCTGAAAAATCAACATCTAAAATGCCACCATTTTTTTCCGACGAATTCCAGACAGTTTGTCGAACAATATTGTTTTTAGCTTCTTTCTCGTCATCAGATATAGTAGCATTCTCAGGCATTTCACCAATGTCAGTATAAATAACTGGAGGCATTGATGGTGGCGAAGGCGAACGTCGATCCGTTTTCTTAGTTCCTTTTGACCTTTTCGATTTTCCAGAAAACTTTTTATTTGCTAGGAGATAAAGTTCAAAGGAAATTATTACTATCAACGTATGTAAATTAATAAAACATGCAAAGGATTTATAATTCATAAATACCTACATTTGAAATCGAATTCATTCATAGATAAACGAACTACTGGTATTGAATCCACGTCAATCTCTTCGATTTTACGTGGTGAAGTTAACCCAACAGACTTCGATAGTTTCAGTGGAGCTTTTTTATCATCAACGTTAATGTAATATGGATCATTCTTAATACGTTCCCTTCGTTCATTAAGACGCTGTAATCGTTTAAAATTTTCCAACCCATTAATCATTTTATATATTTAAAATTGATTTCGCAAAAATTGTAAATGAATTCTGGTATATACTTTCTCTAGAATTTCCTCATTTTCTTCACTTTCATATCCACCCTTTCTTCCATTTTTCCTTCCTCTTCGTCTACCGACAGTGGTACCATTACCACTTGAAAATATTAAATCTCCACTTCCACCAAATTTCTGTCCATAACCATATCCATAACTCTCCTCCTCTTCTTCACTTTCACTACTTTCTGACACTGGTAGCGGTTCGTTAATCCAAGCATCCAAATCAAGCCCCTCTGGTATAGGGACTTTCTTTTGTGCTTTTGGAGCAACAGGATTGAGTTCGTATGAGAAGAAAAGAGGCGAAAGTTCAGTGATTATTGTGGGAGCTTTCGCTGGAGAATAAACATTTTCATCTTGGAAGTTATTCTCTCCATTAACCAAATTTTGATGAATAATGGAAAATATTTCACGTATATTATATGCCTAATAAACAATAACTAATACTTTAGGTATGATATATATATAAAGCTTGATAAAATTAATGTTCATGATTTAAGTTGGTCAATAAAGTTTACCCTCTCTTGAACTTCCAAATCTGTACACGAACCAAAGATTCCAATTTTATCCTTCAGTTTGGCAGTTATCTGTATTAATTCTTGCTTAGCATCATCATCCCAGTTGTAAATTAGACTATTAGCCCAATAAGAATAAATTTTCAAAACTGCATGAATATATACAGCTTGAACGCTATGCGAAAGCTTTGTAACACCGGGTTGAACAAGGAACTCAATTGTCTCGACGTGATTTTCCAAATAACTATAAATTAAATCAAATCATTAGATAAACTAAACTATCAAAAAATTTCACAATTACTTACAACATTAGGTTATATAATCAACCTGCAGAATTCTCCAGATATCCATGCCGCAGCATAAAGCACTTCAGCATTTGAATCTAAAAGTTTACAATTTTCTAAAAGAGTTGAATCCGAAATCAATCGTTGCTAAAAAAAGATAAAATCAATAAATGACAATAAATAACAATAATAAAGTGTTTTTTTAATGAAATGTTTAGACAACTCACCATAATCTTTACGCAATATTTCCGTACACTTTTGACACGAACACCAACATCCATTATTTGTTGTGCTAATAGTACTCCAACATTTACTTCAGCCACATAAGTCAAATCTACCAAGACGGCAATATACCATTCAAAATTCGTGATGTTACTATACGAATTTTGAGAACAAATGTAAATAATACGATTTATAATATTTTCCCGGTAGGCAGGCTCGAGTAGCGTGGATGGGGGTGGATAGCTTGTTGATGGATCAGAATTACTTGATGGTAAAAGGTGTGCCATCAGCCGCTTAATAATGTCTGCGCAATTTTTCTTGTTGACCTATCAGTGTGTGATTCAAATATAGATAATAAATAAATATGAATATAAACAATTTTCAAGAATTATAAATAATTCCTACCATTCCAACAACTAAATCCAAAGCCCGTAATCTAATACTAATATCAAGGTCATCAATACATTTCAAAATTATATCTTTGTGTTCTGAAACTAATTTTGGATGAGTTGGGAGAATTTTGGCTAACGCTAAAAGTCCCACATATTTTACTAAAAAAAAAAAAAATAAATAAAATTAAATTATTTTAGTATATTAATGCACACATAATATAAAAGTCACAACATATAATCAAACGTACAATTTTGATCCTGATCTTCCAGAAATATCCTCAACTTATTAACGCACATAGCAGCCAATGAATCAGAACTTCCACCTAAATTTAACATTCCACCTGTTATGACTGTATGTATACATTCATATAAAAGTGACATGGCCTGTGTTGTCTGTATTTGTTGTGTGATTGACGGTAATAGTTTTTTGGCAAGTCTAGGTTCAAGTGGTGTTAATGCTCCAAACTAGAAAAATGAAAAAACAAATTATTGAATATATGTATGATGTTCTAAATGCGTCTACGAAGAATTGTTAAAATAATTTTGTTTAAATAACATTGTTATATATTTATATACCAATTTAATAATTTTAATTAGCATCCAGTTATTTGAAGATGAATTTAATATTTTAAATAATTGAGGCGCAAGCGATAAATAATTTTTTGGATTTTTCCTTGCTAATTCACATATTACATTTACAACAGAACATACGACCGCTTTTTAAAAGAAAACGAATAGTTAATTACAAAATACAATTATAATAATAACAAAAACAACAAACAAACAAAAAAAAAAGAATCTCATACACGGATCGGGATCATCTAATTTTTCCTTTAATCTTGGGAAGCTTAACCTTAGAGCTTCAGGATATTTAAGGAAAAGCTTATATAATACAAGAACAACTTTTTTCCTCACGTATGGACGAGAATGATTAAGCATTGAAACCAGATCTTGACATAGATCACGAGCAAGATCTGGTGTCACTATATGAGCTAAGCCATTAAGCGCAACTCCTACTTCAAGATGATTTCCCGAAGCAAGATCCTATTAATACAATATTATATTATTTTAAAAATATTGAATAATTATAGGATTAAATTTTAATTTCATATAATCAAATCAATATTTTACCTTTTTCAATAAATTCGTGGTTAACATTAAAACATCGGTATCCTGCCGAAATGATTGTGTGGCAGCCAAATATCCTGATCTTTTCTGAAGAAATTTTGTTGAGGACATAACCTCAACGACATTAAATGATGCCCAGGACATATCATATCCATGCATTTGAAGCTATAAGCAGTAAATTGAGAATAAAAAGAATAAAATTGAAATGTATTATACTTTAGAACGTTATCGTTTAAGATCTTCGTAGTCTTGAATAAATTTTTAGATTTTCTTTTTTAAAATCTAGCTTTATACGACAAACGTTTTCCGAGTTAAAACGCTGATTTGATAAACATACATAAGTTAACTTTAAAATAGCTGTCGCCTTTACATCATGGTCATTATTTTTAACCTCTTGACGACATTCTTGTATACAAGCCGCAATATATTTTTGTTCGTTTTTCTTATTTGCGCGAATACCGCGAATTAAGTCTGTTAATGACTTTTCGAACATTTCCAAGTTTAAAAGTTCAAATAGATAATTATAACTATTCATCTATTCTATTTAGGAATATTCAATTTTTTTACCCATTTCGACCGAGATGACTATCAGATGTAGATGTTGCACTAACACCGTGTAACACCCGTGCTACCAGAAAAGCATAAATAACCGAGTTTTTCGAGGATTTTTTTTTCGTTATATTTCACCTAGAAACCTTTTCCTTTAAAGTCATGTCATCAGTCACTATAGGAAAAGTACTGGGATGGATAAGTTTTATCACACTTCTCCATTCTACGTATTCTACTTATGAACGTATGTCTTATGAAAAATATTTTTTTTTGATCGCGAAACTAAAAATTTATTTATTGTTTGGTTCATTTAGACCTATCATATCTTAAAGCTGTTGAGAAAGTTGCAAATAATATGCCAATTGAGGTAATTGAATTTTTTAAGCGATCTATAGTCAAAGGAATAAAAATAAGTTGCATTTGAATAACGATGATTTATTATTATTTATTATTATAGATTATAGTCGAATGTCTCGTTTCCGTATTATTTTTTTCAATTAGTATAGTATTAGTAGCGGGTCCTTTAAAACCTATATTAATGAAAAACGAAATGGTGAAAAAGTAAATCGAATCTTTACAATTTAATCCTATAATTCATAATTTCTGATTTTCGTTCACTAAATTAAAATTTATTTTTATATAAAGGTCTATCGACAAAGTTGATACTCGCCCTTCTTTCAACACTTTTAACCATCGAGGTAGAATAATTAAATCTTCTATGAATTAAAATTTTTTTTTTTACTCTGTAATAATTTCTCGAACAATAAATTTTACGAGGAATAATCTTAATGTGTATTTTAAACCAAAAAAAGGGTTAAATATATTTAAACCAAAAGGCTTTAACGGAAGAAATAATTATAAACAAAAAAAAGAAGAGAAAGATAATAATAATAAATAAAAAGTTTAAAAAAATATTATTCATCTGAACTACTACTTCCATGTTTAAGGAATTCTGATAGTCGCACAGGAGTATCTCCCGTATGTTCTTCTTCCTGAACTTTATGCCTATGCTTGTGTTTCTGTTTAGTTGTTTTATCGAAAAATCAAAAAAAAAAAAAAATAAGAATTTTGATATTATTTAAAAGAATTTACTACAAATCAAACCTTATGAGAATGTCGATGATGATGGTGATGATGTTTCTTGTCCTTGTCGCCATCGTCGTTATCGTCAACCTTTTTATCTTCGAGTTCCTCAGAAGATTCATAAGCGCCTGGTTCTATGCTACTACTTCTTTCCTTACGTTTCGAGTGCCTATCTTGTCTTTCCTGGCAGCATTTCATGTCAATTAATAAATTAAAGGTAAGAATCGAGCTCATCATTCTTCCGAGAATTAATCACAAACCTTCTCAACATCAAGCACGTCTTCTTCATCAATTTTACGATTCTCATAGTCTTCATAATATCCATCCTCACTAAAATTTATATTTCTAATAGGACTATGACTCTTACTACCTCTGGTATGACTTCCATGACGCTCCTCACGTTTTCTTTTATTATCACGATCATGAGAAGAGGAACGATGTCGACGACGATGATGATGATGATGATGTTTTTTCTTTTTCTTTTTGCTCGAACTACTACCACTTACGCCTTTAAGTTTAGCGTCTCTTTCGTCATCCAATTGTTGCCGATACTGAACTAGTTCATATTCCGAGAATTGCGGTCCATCAACTTCTGATTTTAATTTACGAAATTCGTCCCTCGAGAAATAAAAATGATATAAATAATAGCGCATTTAGTTGTAATAAACGACGCACGAATGATTGACATAAATTCGCAAATGGTAAATACAAAATACGGATCGTTTACCACGTCATTCCTCCCTTTTTACGAGCATCAATATATTCACGTATTGATCCACCTCGTTCGGTATTCGCCATTTCAGCTTTTTCTTTTTTGTTTTTCAAAATATATATCGAATGTCAAGGGAAAAAACCGTGTGAAAACGAAATCTAATTTATCGGATTTGGTTACGATTTTTGTGAACTGTATGATCATTTTCGAACGTTCTAGAAAAAAATACTTTGTATTACAAATATATCACTTGAAGAGGTTATATTAGGATAAGCAATTAAATAAATTCTTCTAATATTAAAATTTTGATCATTTCGATAAACAATTTAAAAGATACCATTCATTTCTTTATTTTCAGAATCAATTATTGGAATAGAAAAATCCAATCAGTTCTTCCAATTCTATATCTTCAAATTTTAACAACTCTATTTTATTTCTTGACCATTCTTTTGGATTAAGTATTTGCATTGCATTCAATAATAAATAATCTGTAAATTTTTTTTGAATTTCAAAATAACTAAAGAAGCAAATCTAAAAATATCTGCAATTAATTCATTTTAATATGAACATTTTCTAGTATATATTTACTGGTATCAACTTCAAGTTCTCCAAATATTTGACATCATTTTAATTTTGAAGAAACATGTAATGTTAAACTATGATATACTGATTTTTACTTTGAAAGTCGTGATTGCATAATACCAGTATATCATATTTAGGCTGATTTGTATCAGTGAACTATATGATTTCAATTTGGTAAAATGTAAAAGAATATTTAACCATCAATCTGATTAATAGAAAAATACCAATTATAAAATTCTGTCATCTTATTTTCTTTTGAATTGTTATTTTTGATGCAATAATCTATTAAAATTACTTTTTAAATTGTCTTTTTCACATATTTTTTAAAAGTTTTATTAGTCTAAAAAATCCTTTTAAATCTTTTAAATTGTTATTTTTGATATAAAATAATCTATTAAAATTGTTTTCTAATTTTATAAATATACAAATCGTCTATAAATCAGACAGATTAATTTTTAGTCAATTAATAATTATATCTAATTAACATAGATGATTTATCACATATCCAATTTTTTTTGATTTCAACTAGTACTAGCCTAGTATTTATATTTTTATTATCCTTTCCATTCTCTTTATTTTTATTTTTATTTCTTTATCTTTCTATTTTTATCTTTTATTATTATATTATTATCAATAAATTCTTTTCTTTTTTACTTTTATATCTTTATGAGTCTTTATGACATACAGTTCTTAGTAAATTTATAATCTTTATGATTTTATAAATTCTTGAGAATTTTCATGATATACAGGTTCTAATGAATTTATGATCTTTGTGATTACATAAATTTTTGAGAATCTTAGTGATATACAGAATTTTTGTAACATATAAATCTTTATAAATTATAAATCTTAGTAATATACAGTCTTTGTGAGTCTTAATAATAACCTATCAACCTTTGTAAATTACAAATCTTAGTAATATACAGTCTTTATGAGTCTTAATAACAACTTATCAGACTTTATAAATTATAAATCTTAGTAATATTCAGTTTTTGTAAATCTTAGTGATAAACTGTAACATTTGGGAGGCAGTCAGTAGAAAAGAGGAAAATCCAAAATTTTTGTTAATTTTAATTATTAAGCTAATTTTATGTACATGATCAAGATCAGCCAAGTGGACCAATAATATAAATTTTGACCAAAATTTAGATTTCTCCTTTTTTTACTGATTACCTTCTATTTGTAAAACTTAGTGATAACATATAAGTTTTTATTAAATAAGTAAAAATATTATGTAAATTAAAAAAGTATTACTATTTAAACACCTGTCTAATTGTAATAATTCATCAAAATTGCACATTAATATTAGCTTTTATTATGTAGATAAAATCTAAAAATAAACTTTTTTGTATTTTTATATGACTTATAAATTTCAGAAATGGTTATTTACCAATTAGTAAAATTACATCTTAATCTTTATTCATATTATTACCAGCTAAAATTCACTATTGAAAAGTTGATCTACAAAGAATTATTAAATGATTTACAGAAGTTACTGGAATTAA